TAGCTACTGACATTGGACTTCTATAAAGAGGGACTTTTCCTAGAGAAAATACTCAAAATCTGAATGTGTTCACAATAGTGACATGAGTTTTTCCCCTTCCATCCCTTGAAAATTTCTACAGCTCTTTAGAGGAGTTGATTATTTTTTAAATTGTGTATCATTTTATCTTCTCAGGCAAACTACACAATCGATATGTTTTGCTGAGTGCGTAAATCCTTTTTACATATTTCAAATAATATCTAATTAAAATGTCAAGGTTATAGCTCATGTGGCTGGAGTGGACAGGACTCCACTCCTTCCCTCAGCCTCTCAAAGTAACATTTAAAATATGTCCTATAATTAGGAGCAATTATAAATTCCAATTAAAAAGAAACCCTTACAGTTCTGAAGATATTTTCTTTGATGTTTCTTGCTTTAATTTATGTGCTTTTTGCATCAAATTGTCCCTGTTTCCTCAGATATGTTTCTAAACAGAAAAAGCTTCCAAAACTGTGAAGAGAAAAGCAGACCAAATCTGTGGAAAGTGGAAAAGTTCATTAAAAAGGGTTATTGCATCTATAACTTCTGGAGTTGGTGTTCATTGATTAAAGATTACACATCATCCTTTGTACCAGTCAGATTGGGATTTTTAATTAGGATGTCATTATTACACAGATATACTGAATGCCAAATTGATTTCTGAGACCTTTTGAAATAATAGCACTACTTCTGCAAAATGAAAATCATAATAGATTATTGACTTCTTTGGGAGTTTTAAGCCAAGGGCACCTCCCCAATGTCAACATTTTCAATATTTTCAGTTTCATGCAAAGAGACACTCATAATTAGGCTTATATTAAAAGTTTGTGTGCATTGACTCTGTGTTATTAATGCCGATGGCATCACATTGATTACCCTTGAATAATAACAGCAGAGACATTGCTTGTTACCGAATTGTTTACATACCATATAGCCTTTGTCTTTTGCTTTTGTTTAATTTAAAAAGTGTTCATATTCATTGCAAGTAGCATACTTAATTCATAAGATCAGAAGGTCATCAACTTTCCTAATTCATGGTGTTCATTCCATTACTATCTTGGGGATTTCTCAGTGTCTTAGCTCAAAAGAATTGCCTAGCACCCCCTTTTATTATGTGTTCAGGTCAAAACAACTCAAGGAGTATTTGTATCATAATAATTTATTGGGCACTTTTTAAAATTACACATAAATTGATGAAAAAACATTTTGTATATTTTCTAACGCCCACAATTGCTTCGTAATAGAACTCTGTGTCTATTGGGTTTTGCAGACTTTCTTAAGCTTAGAATCAGATTAGGCCCACCACCTTCCTTTCCTGTTCCACAAGGATTTTCACAGGGTTCTTGTTTTTTAAACACAGTGGCACAAAGATAGGATGTCACCAAAAGAAATGTAGCATGATCTAATGTTGAAACTATGGACTACTTCAAGCAAGCTGTTTTCACAGAATCCAACACATGTGTTACTGTGTTTTGCTCAAAAATTAAAAATAAACAGCACTGATATGAATGAATGTATCGTTTCACACTGAGTGCCTTAGCATGCCATTGGTGAATCATGGCACTTGACTTCAGTTTTTTGATGTTGTAGACTATATCTTGTCCATTTCTGCATTTTCAGCACAAGCAGAGTGATTAATGGGCTCAGTAAATGATGTCTGCAGAATAGTGCTTCTTGTGCCCACTTTTCTTGTATAGATCATTTCACCTGAAAATACTACAATTTGATAGCATGGATCCAGTGTACATACACACAAGGTATGGCCAACACACGAGGATGAATTGCCCTCACACATTTTAGGAGTTTAGATAGAGGAAGTTAGTGAAGAGTCATCTCTATATTAGACACTTCACAAATATTTCTTTGCAAAGAAAGGTCTAAGCTGCCTAGATTTTCTCTAAAACCAAGAAAATCCCTAAATAAGGCCCATGAATGTTTCCCTCCCCGCCCTACTAGAGGCACACCAAGTGAGGGCTTGGGCCACCATTCCTTGAACCACCTGCTCTTATCCAGATGTGGATGGAGGTTCACAAATCCGGGAAGGACGGCTTCCTCACCACCCTTAATGGTGGCCTTCCCTTGTCCATCTCCATTGATGCCTTATATCCAAGTGAACCTGAAGAACTATACTTCACACAATGAAGCATTGGTTGAAAAGAACATCCAGTAGTGTACAATGAATATCACTCATCCTCAAAGAGGAAGAAAATTCTGGCCCAGCTATATACCACGTTATTAAGTGAAAGAAGCCAGATACAAAAGGCCCTATGCACGACACTATTGAGAGGATATGTCTAGAATAAGCAAGTTCAATAGAAACAAAGTAGAGCAGGGCTGACCAGAGGCTAAAGTGAAATTGGATTGGTAGCTCTTGTTTAATAAATACAGACTTCCTGTTTGAAATGATGAAAAATGAACTGGAAAGGGATAGCGATGACCATTGTACAATTTTGTAAATGTACTACTATGTTTTGAATGTATCTGCAGAAGTTTATGTGTTGGAAACTAGATACTCAAAGACGTATGTTAGTTTTGCTAGGAGGTGGGTCGTTCAGTGGGAATTAAGATTACTTTTCTAAGGGATTTGTCTTTGAGATTGTGAGGTTGGGGTTCCCATATCACATTACTGGCTTCCTAAGAGGAAGAGAGACCCCAGCTGACACTCCAGCTCTGTCTGGCCATGCAATACCTACTGTTCTGTTAACAATGAGGCATCAAGAGGGCACTTGCCACATTTCAGCCCTCAGACCACGGGTTAAATAAATTTGAAATTATCAAATCTTTGGCATTCAGTTATAGCACCAGAAAACAGACTAAAATATGTACTTATTGCCTCCACACTGTGCCCTTAAAATGGTGAAAATTGTAATTTTTACATTACATTTACCCCTGTGTAGATGCAACAGTGTCTACTCTGGAAAAGATTTGCTTAAAAGGATGACATCAGCAAATTCAGGTTAGAAATTTAAGGACACCCCAGTCCCAAATACCCACTAAGCCATGAAGTGCCAAGCTAGATTAGGATTGGGACAAATTCTTTCTGGAAAAAAAAAAAGACTAGATAGTAAGGATTTTAGGCTTTATGGGCCATCTGTTCTAACTATTCATCTATGCCCCTGAATCACAAAACTATAGAAATTATAGCAAGTATAGGAAATATGCAAATGAATGAGCATCAGTGATTTCTCAGCAAATCTTTCTTTTTTCCCCCATTAAGTTTATTGGTCCATTTAAAGCAACAATGTAGTTACATTTACCATTGGGATCTTGTACCTTTACATGATGTACCTTAGCTTTTATTTTTTTCCCATACACCTGCCCTCCCCTCATCCCCTTCACCCTTCCCTATTTATAAAGAAGAAAATGGAAACAAAGGCAATCTTTCTTCATGGACACTGAATTCAATATTCATATAATTCTCACACAAAACATTGTGCTTCTTTTGATCTTTTAACCCTGTAAAAAATGTCAAAATCATTATTAGTCAATGGATCTTATAAAAACAGGCAACAGCTCAGATTTGGCCTCTGGGTCATAGTTTGGTGACCCCTAAGCTGGAGCTCCAAATCAATGATGAGGCAATACCTTACTGATAACCTGAGGGATTTTCCCCAATATTAGTGCGGGGGGGAGAACGCGGGAGTCACTGGCTCAGGTGGCCGAAGGCATTTTGTGATTAAGGAAATCTTTCCCCTTCCCAAGATTTCATGCCTGGTCCAATATGGATTCCCGGGGCTAGACCTGTGCCTGATCAATCCAGGCAGGGAGAAAATCCATTTGATTCATTACAGGATTTTAAGCATGCCTTCTAACATCTCTTATAGAACCATTTTTACCGAAACAAATTCTTCAAATAAAGTGAAAAACATAAGGAAAAAAGATGACAAAAGCGATCGTGTTGGAATTCAGCAAGGGCAACTTTTGGAAAGGGGAATTTCTAATGCTGAAATTTTATTTCTAAAATTTAAAAAAAAAAGATGGTTTCAAAATCAGAAATGGAAGACTTTCTGAAAGGAAATCTAGGGGTAAAGGAAAAAATGGCTTCCAAAAATTGCTAAAATAGCATGATTCAAGCAGCTACTTCTTACATCTATGTCTAGATTTGTTGAATGAATAGAATTTAATTCAAAATATTTTACTGAAAATCTACTTTGAGTGAAGTATTATGACCCAAATTCTTGGAAAAAAATCATATTCTGAGGGACTTGTGGGGAGAAGGTGTTGATTTTCGTTTTGTTTGAAAGGAGGGATTTTTAGGAGAAAGTTGGTAGGTAGTCCTTTATACATACCAGGTACCTTAATTTCTGATTATGGGAACTTAGTTTTTATCATGGCTGCTCCTGTCACTCAGGAACTTTTATTCCAGCTGCTGATATTTGGAAATAGAATATTTTGGTTACTTTTCTCAGTGCTAAAACAAAATGCCTAAAATACCCAAAATTATAGGAGGAACAGTTTATTTTGGCTCACAGTTTGTAGAGGTTTTAGTGCATAGTTGCCTGGCTCCAAGGTAGGGTGGCATGGCAGAACGGCATGGCAGAGAAGAAACTGTTCATATAGACAGGAGGCAGAAAGGCAGCAAAGTAGTGAAGCACCAAGGAAGAAAGAAGCAAGCCACGGTGGCAGCCCTCTTTCTACTCATCATAGTCTATCCAGGATGCCCTTGGGGCAGGTAGTACTCATACCCAAGGTGGATCTTTCCATTATCCACACTCAGAACTATGCCAAACCAATCAGTAGACTAATTTAATAATCACACACCCTCGATCTCAGCACCACAAACTCTAGATCCAGCTACCTCTGAAAAGCCTCACCTATGACTGCATGACACTTTGGGGGGACATCTAGACACAAGCCATAATATAAAGAGTCTCTTATGTGACACCAACTCCACCCTACAGTCAATGGATGACGGCACAATAGGTATCAGTCTCTGGGTCCATGTGTCTGTAGCTTCTCTTCAGGGGCTCAGAGTTCTTGGGGCTATTGAAGGAGACAGCGACACTAATCTATAGGCTGGGCTGCTTTCATGCACTCTGGCTTCTTCTAATTCTTAACATGTCTTTGTTTAATTCTCAGATTCCTCCTCCTATTTTTGCATGGTAAGTTTCCATGTCAGCTCACTGAGCCATTTTGTCAACACATTGAGCAAATAACATTTCACAACTGTCTCTAAATAATTTAAATATCTGGTTACAGTGAAGATGGCTACAGCCCTACATGTCTAGCTGAGCTCAGAAAGGGCTTCCTTTATTAGTTCTAACTTTATTTCTCATAAAATACTAGGCCATTTGAGTAAAATGATAGTTGGAAAAAATTTTTAAACAGAACCAGCAAATAAACATGGTCTTTATGAGTTGTAACATAATCGCCAGATGATGTCATGTTTCATGTTTCAACTGCCAGAAAATGCCTGACATCTATATATCAGGCAGATTTATGGAGACTTCAGGGTAAGAGTTAAGAGGATCCCTTAAATAAGGATTGCGTGTTGGTCTGGGGGTAATTTGGAGCCTCTGTTACCCATAGGTTAAAATGCGCACATTTGAATAAATTATAGTAATATGCCTTTTCACTTAATCTCTTTTTTATGTCAAAAAGTCTGCAGTTCTGGGAGACAGGTACATGGGGGCTGGGGGCTGAGTTCAAATATGATGTCTTTTGCTTCCGATTGGTCACTGGTGTTGCTCTGGCAATACTAGAGAGAAAAGAAAAGGTCCTGTATCACCAAACTCAGAATTATAAGGCACACACAAGCTCTCTCCATGTCTCACAGTGCCAATACACTTCTGCTGGCTGCAAAGGCACTGAGGACATGGCACCCTAGCCATTTTCTTTCAAAAACTTTCTGTTTAGTCTGCCCTGTTCAAGGAATTATCCCAGAAGGAAGAGTTTTCCAAATGCAACCCTCTCTTCATGTAATACAAGTTGGGAGACAATTCGTTCAGAAAAATTATTTTGAAATAATCCTGGGAAAAGGTGGTTCAATTAGCTTTTTTATGCATTGCCTATAGATTGGGGATTCAAGTTTGTCTTAGGCCTACTCAGCCCACTCTTACTAATGAGTCAAAGTTACACAGCTGATGTAATGACTTAGCACAGTAAAAGTTTATCTGTGGCTTAGATTGTAGTCCTATTGGGTCATCAGAAAGTGAACATCTACACGGTGATTCATATACCCAGTGTTTGTCTGACTAGTGACTTTGTCACTGGCCAGGATGTGGAGTGTGCTGTGATCTACATTAGCCTAAGCAATGAGGAGCAGAGAGAGAAGCCAGAACTTCTGGGAGGCTTGGTGGATCATTGTCCAGTCTCGATCACAAAGCTCCACTTAAGTGCAAAGCATACCGGGAATTGTCATGCTTATCTGTGATTCCAAGAAGGACACCTAGTCTCCATCCTCCATCTTGGTGCAGAAACTGAAGAACTACACTTTTGAATAGGGGCTGGGATTCCCTCAGAGAAAAAAGGACTTGAAATAACAACAAGGTAATTTTTTGTTCATTTGTATTTCATTGTTGAAAGCATGTTTAATTTCACTCAACCTTCATCCTAGTCCTATGAGGAAGCAAGGTGTATAGTCTTTTCTTTTAAATATGATCAGGGATATGTTTGTGGCCTATGTCACAAAAAACAAACTTTAAGTGAGAGAATTTGAATCAGAACCCAGGTATTCCAGTATTAGATTCCCAGGTTTTTACTACTGCACTTAAAGTATAGTGGTATTTATGCAGGTTGGGGTTGGGAAGGGTAGGTTATCTCATCAAGACAGTTAAGGACTAGTTGGAGTTGGAAGATTATTTCTGGTTCTATCTAGGTTTGGTGAAGTCTTAATGCATATGATATTTGAAATTAATTCAGTTCTCTGCTTTAAGGCTAAATATGAGTCTAATCCAGTAATCAACACTGTGTGCACCTCTGTTTTTCCTTTTTCTCCTTAAGAAATTAAAACATAACTTACCATGTTATGTTAATGTAAAACAATCCTAGTTATGACAATAGCCAAAATAACAGGCTAAAATCTCTCCTGCACTCCCACAAGTGAAAGGCAGCTCAGAATGAATGAAAAGCAGTTGAAAGAGAACTGGAATATTTGAGAGGGTTAAGGTTAGAATTCCTGTGTTGCTCTCCACCGCTGGTACAGTCCTAATAAACTGTTTTCATCCTTCATGCCAAAGAAAAAGGAGAGCTCAAACCCCTTGCTCCAGATATGCAGCACCAAAGAAGTGTTACGAAGCTTCATAATCATGATTTCAAAGAGGTTTGTGGAAACGTTTCATTAATTCTTACAAAGAAATCCTTTTTTCTTAATTTTTTCATTAGCTTCAGACATTTACTTGCAATTACATTTGTTCAGTGAATACAATGACAGAAATTAATAATTCATAGCTTTTGTCAGGGAAAATTTAAAAAAAAGGACAGTTGTTCAATCAAATACAACTTTAAATGCACAATTTTTATTTAAATAAGATGTAAAAAATAAATAATTGGGACGGTTATTGTACTTTTGAGAAACCTCCACTTTTCCAAATTATATCCATACTATACCCCAGTGACATGAAATTTTGTGTTGCTTGGAGAACATCATGAAAATAACAAGTTCAGATCTGATGATCTGAAAGGGGAGAAATGATACAACCTTGGTGTTTACATCACCTGTATCTTTTGGGGCCTTAGGCTGAGTGAGTGGCAGAGAGTCCTAGCAGCACAAAACCGGAAGGAGACAAAAAGAAGATGCCTTCCTAACAACTTTTTCTCTGACAATCAGGAAAATTAAGGTTCAGAGAAAGGCAGTAGAGATTTTAAAATTCCCACAGTGGGTTAGCGCCACAAATAAGCTTGAAGCATGGGTCCCCTGACCCCCATCCTAAGCTCTCTGATCTGTGATAGCATCCCTGTCATCCCATGAGGTCCTGCCAAGTAGCTAATAATGATGATCTGAAGTGCTACAGTCAGACCAACCTTTCGTCGTAACCATCTAACTGCTTATCTGAAATTCTACCCTTAAAGATTACTTGCTTCAGATGGTAAAGTCTTTCTAAGATTATGTTTCCCTTGTTACCATCAAACTACCTATTTCTAGAAACCTATTTAGGTAAAAAGAGGAGGTAGGAAACAAGGGCAGGACCTGCCAGAAATAGGATGACAAGGTAAGTGGTGAGGAGTTCTCCAATTAGCTCTTAAGACAGTGGACGGGATGAATATTCTAGCTCTCTCTTCCTCTCCCTACCTGCTCTTACCTGTGAGTACTAAGAAGCAGTCTGCAAAATCCATTCTACCTTTTTGTTGTTCCAGTTTAGAGGATGACAATGGGGCCTGTCTTAAAAGTAAAGAAAAATAAACTCAACAAATTTCCTGGAAGTAGGTCATTAATGGGAAGGCTCCTTGAGAAGGGCAGTTGATGTAATGGCTAAGAATCAAATGTCTCTAGTTCTGTATCTTGATTCAATCATTTATAAATTCTGTGCTTTGGAAAAATCATCACTAAGGTCTCAGAATCCTACTTTATTTATTTGGAAAGTAGGGATGTATCAGATAACTAAACGTGCCCAAAACTCAGGGGTTTAAAACACCAGTGATTTATCCTCATGCCTCTAAGGATTGACTGTGGAGGCTACCTTCTCACTGGGGCCTGAGGGTTGGAGGGGTGACTCTCCAAAATGTACACATTCTTCTAGGACCCGCAGAAGAGCTGCTTCTTCCCCAGGGGAAGGGAGAGATGAAGGAAGGCAGAAGGAAACACATGTGCCCTTTTAGGCCTGGCACTGTGCATATATAACTATACATCATGGGCCAAAACAAAGTCACGACCAAACCCAAAGTCAAAGAATAAGAAAGGAACTTTTGCTCAAATGAGCTGTGGCATGAGTGTGAATGAAGTGAAGTATAAAGAATTAGGCCTCAAAATGCAATTTATAGTAAAGGATAACAGATAGTACTTTCTCCTTGCACTGTTATTAAAAGTATATGTAAAATACCTAGGGGCTAGCTATGCCCTCTCAGAGTGCCTAGTGAAGGAGATGTTTTGGTTCTCCACTCAGTGAAGTAATAATGATGGTTTGGGGGCAAAGAATTCCCCTCTTTGATTTGAGCAACTGTTAAAGTAGGTGTCTCCTGGAGGTGAGGAAATGTGTGGTCTTCCCGGATCGATCAATTTCCTGCTTCCAAGTACAGTATTGACCCTCATCTCACAAACCAAAAGAAACAAATGGATTTGATTAGCAAATACTTTCATCTCCATCCTAATTGAAGTCTCTGGGACTTCCTCATTTTGGAAAATCCCATTTTAATGCACAACACATCAGGTAGCCAAAAGAATTTCCTTTCCCGACAGCTGCCCTGCCCCTCCCAAAACAGGGAGTTTATCCACCATATTCTCTGGCGGCCCCATCAAACTGACCCTAGATCAACACATTCATGCTTTGGGCTGGAAGATTCTGCTGCTGTTTTTGATTTTTACCATAAACAGTTCAATTCCAGTGCACTTAAAACAGGGGTACAGGACAGCCCCTATTGGTACTCAGGTCTGGATGTCCTCTCATCATGAAGCTATCTACTCTTTGCCAAGAACCCTGAGATGCAAAGCCCATTTTTCCCTGGAAGAAGCAGCTGAACCGAGGAGACAACCATTTGGCCATCTGAAAAGTCTGACCAGTTGGCACATTGTTGTCTCCAAATGAGCCAGCAGGAAACGTAGTTTCCTAAAACTTGGTTTTAAAGCACTTAGAACAGGAAACCATTTCCCATGCATGTTAGATCTCTCTAATGACTGACTAACTAGAAACAGGCTATCTTAATACTCTGCCCCAAGCCATTACAAATGGCTTTCTTTCCAGACTTCATTAGAATATTTACTGCAATTTGGATAGAAGACTTTTGACACTGCAGTCATAAAATTTACAGGGGACCTTTTTTTCTTTTCTTTTCAGTCTGAGAAGGGACTTGGAAGAAGTGGGGAAAGCCCACAGCTCCCCCAACTACCAATCTCATTCATTAGTGGTCTTGGTGTCTCATGACCTCTAGTTAAGAAAATAAATATCCCTGTGGTAGTCCAATAAATTGCCTTCAGAAAAAAACTAGATCTCTTTTTTTTTATCAACTCCTGCTTCCTTCACATATATGTAGCGAGGAAGAGAAATTTTATAAAGTTTTCCTTTCCTACATGTTTTCTTTCTGAATCTTCACAATCATCATGGGTATGGGCATGATCATATCCCCATTTCACTTTTGAGAAAACTGAGGTCAGAGTTTTCCAAAAGCCACACAGCTAGCAATTGGCAGAGGCTGGGACTGGAATCAAAGTGTGGTTGCAACACAGCTCTTTTCTCCACTTATCTTTAACACACACACACATATACACAATCTACACGGGTAGTGGGTACTCTGTGGAAAAGGAATTTGGACTCACTTTCCCTTCTTTTAAATCGCGTCTTTCTATTCCCATTATAAAAGTGATCATCCAGAGCTCCAACAAAACTGATGCTGAACCTTCAATCAGGAAAATGTCACTGCAGGACAATGAGGTTGCACTGTTTGATGTAGTATATTATTCAGTTGCTCTTGCAGTGGCTTAATGATGACAATTGCCAGGAAGAAAAGATAGCAGGGTGGAGGGATAGAGAGTTATATCTATAACGAGAGCCTTTGGAGAGACACTAATTTTACTGAGTGGCCAAGGATAGGTTCTGTTGAGGGGACAGTTGAGTAGAGAACTAAATGAAGTGGGAAGAGGGAATCCATGCAACTATGTGTGGAAGCATTCTAACTGAAGGGGTGGTAAGCTTCTGCGTGGTGTGCCTGAAATGCAAGTGATTCTTTGTAACTGACGACTTCTCTCTCTGTTTTTTGTTTGTTTGTTTGTTTTGTTTTGTTTTTTTGTCAGGGATCAAACTCTGGACCTTGAGCTTGTGAGGCAGGCGGCAGCACCACCGAGCTAAATCCCTGGCCCTCTGATGACTTCTCTATGAGCTCAGTCTCCATTAAGAACTTTGAGTATTCAGAGTTCTGTGTGTAATATTAGCCCACCAGAAGTCTGCATACCTTCATCAGATGGTTAATGGTGGATCAGAAACATCTCCACAAAGCCTCATTGTAATGCAGTACCTTTGGTTTCTATCATGGGAATACAGAGAATGCTTCTCCACTCTCAGCACGGCTCTATGGAATAGTGTCCTGTGTGCCCTATGGATTTAAAGCCAAGAAACTAATGATCATTCCTAAACAGTGTGCTTTCTCTTAGCAAGCAATAAAGAGCACGTGACCTATCATGTTTCACCCTTTTTGTCCTGATTCCTAGGAAGCTCGATGTTAAATTTAATATTCAATTAAAACAACAAAGTTAGCCTTCAAGGCTTTTGAGTATTTTTAATGCTTAATTGTATATCTGCTTTTCATTGCAAGCAGCCTCTAGTCCTTTTAGGCTGGCATATAAATAACACATGTACATAAAATCATGTATGACAAGCATAAAAGAAGGTTAATTTGCCTAAAAATAAATAACATTTATAGTCAGCTCATTGGATGCTGCAGATAAGCTATTGTTTATGATTCCATTTACATGGAGACCCAACAGATGACCAGATTGGTTGGAAAAGGAGGAAGAAATGTCATTGACATATATGCTAATGTCTTCCTCCTTGAACGCATTGTATTACCTGGTGTCCACGGCCCTGTGCTTCTCCACTCACATGAACTCTAAGCTTGGCTGTGTGACCTGCCTTAGCGGATAGGACCTTACTAAGTACGCTGAGTGCAGAAACCGGTCAAGTGATTCCAGGTATTACCCCCTTGGAAGGTTGCTGTCACCATGTGAGACAGCCAGGTGCAGCCTCTTTAAGCATCCATGACGGCATGGAAAGAGAGGTGAGCCACTGTATCTGGTCCTCAAGGGTGATGCAGGGAATCCGCAGAAATGAGCAGAGACCTGTCCAAGTAACGCAGAATCACAGGAATTGACTAATCATTATTTTAAGCCTCTACATTATAATGTGGGCTTGTTACACAGAAGTAGGCAACTGATACAGCTGTACTAAATTTATTTTAGAGCCAAAATTCTACAGAATTGTTATGATCTCGGTCTATTACGTACTCGGCTCATGCCTCAGAACATCAAAACTTCCTGAAAAACTTATTTTTCCAGGAATTAAAACATACCTACAAGAACACATTTTCTCTGAGAACATGCAAAATAGAAAACACCTCTCCTGACCCACAGGCTGCATTGATAAAACACA